ACAACAGTTGTGGGAGTGCATTTAGGAAATGATAATACCACAACAGCTCAGAAGTATCCAGCATCCAGCTGAAAATAGCAGGGGAGTGCAGATAGCCAGCAACTACACAACTGGAATTTGGCCAAGACACTTGGCCAACTCACCTCTGCTTGCAAGATGTTTCATGGGCTCTAATAACCACAGGTCACCATGACCTCAGTTTTCTGCCTCATCCAAAAAAAACTTATTTTCTTTGATTCATTTCAGGGATTTTTGCCCTCTGTCTGCAAGAGATTTCTGCGGAAGTCACTTTCTTCTCACCCACTCTGATTAAAAATTGGGAAAGAACATAAATAAATTGCAGCTGTGTAAATAGCTCTCAAATTTCCTTAACAAACCAAGGTGGATTAAAAAATTCAGATTTCAGCCTAACAGGAAAGTCACTGATTTATTTGCAGAACAGGGCAAGACTAACTAAACTGCTCTGGCTTAGGAGCTGACGTAAGGCCAGTCAGCTCTACCCACCTGCTTTAAACTCTCATTTCTCTGCAGTTGGTTAAGTATTTTCTGATCTGGTATGAAAAGTTTCATGGTGCAAATAGTCACAAGAGCCTGTATCTTTACAGCTGCAGTGATTCAAGCTGGTTAGGAACAAATTCTCTTTTATACTATGTTTGCATTTAGTAACCAGAGACTAAAACAAATGGCCAGCTGCTGTAATTGCTTCATTTTCCATTAACCTTCCACAGATTGTCTATATCCGGTGGGCTTCCATGTTTGCAACTGCAGGGGTCTCTTTAGTGCAGGGGTTCTCAACCTTTCCAGAGCCTGATTTGTCTTGTGAACCCACAAGTTTCACCTCACTTAAAAACTTACAAAATCAGACATAAAAATACAAAAGTGTCACCGCATGCTATTACTGAAAAATTGCTGACTTTCTCATTGTTACCATATAATGATAAAATAAATCAATTGGAATATAAATATTGTACTTACATTTCAGTGTATAGTGTACAGAGCAGTATAAACACGCCATTGGCTGTATGAAGTTTTAGTTTGTACTGACTTCACTAGTGCTTTTTATGTGGCCTGTTGTAAAACAAGGTAAATATTGAGATGAGTTGATGTACCCTTTGGCAGAGCTCTGATTACTACCCCTGGTTGAGAACCACTGCTTTAGTGTCTTTATGTACCCTACAGTTGATCATATCACAGCCACTACTGTTCTCATGCTATTGCTATTATAACCCACTGTTTTCCCATTATTTTTCTGTCCTGCTTTCCTCTGTCCAGTTCTCCAGATCTGACCCTTCTATTCGTATTTCACTTTTTTATTACAAAGTGTGTGTAAATTGCAAAACTCCTTTTAATTCCAAGAAGTAGCATTAGGGATTCAGATCAGAAACATACTAGCCCCTGTGCTACTCAGATACCTAGAAGAAGTATAAAGAGCAGATTCAATACGAACTACAAGGAGTTTTTGGCTTCCACAGCTTGGTGCCTGGTTCCAGTTGGTGACAAAGGAGAACAAGTCACCCCTGGTGAACTCTAAAAAGTAAAGGTATGGAGCCAGATTTTCAAAGTGCAGCACATCCAACAGCGAGCACACCTTTGCACATGCCTAGTCATGCATGGAAATCCCCAGTAAGCCCACCCAGATCTGGTGTTTGCATGTGCACAGGACCAGTTATGTGTCCAAGTGCTCATGTGTGCACTACAAGAGCAAACTGGGTGCACACAATGGGATATTTGTACGTGTAAGTTAAGTGAACACAATGGCATGTGGCTAACTCTGGAATTGGCTCAGTGTAGGACCTCTCCCCTCATCTTAATCCATTTTTAATTTAAATAAAAGGAGGGGAGAGGTAGCTTGGTGGTTTGAGCATTGGCCTGCTAAACCCAGGGTTGTGAGTTCAATCCTTGACAGGGCCACTTAGGGATCTGGGGCAAAATCAATATTTGGTCCTGCTAGTGAAGGCAGGGGGCTGGACTCAATGACCTTTCAAGGTCCTGTAGCTTTTAACTTCCTTATCACACCCATGCCTGTCTGCATACATAACTATTACATACTCCCACGTTCAGAAAGAACCATCAGTCACTGCCACCGGACGTGAGGAGGTTCAGCAATGAGCCCCATAACAAGAACAAAAGTTTAACTTCATGGCATACTGTGACTACCAACAGTAGGGTTCCCATTCGTCCGGATTCTCCCGGACATGTCCGGCTTTTCTGAGTTAAAAATAGCGTCCTGGGGGAATTTGTAAATGTCCGGACTTCCCCCCCATGCAGAGCGTGCGCGGCTGACAGGGCAGCCGGCCGGATCCTGCCATTCGCACAGGGCTCCGGCAGCCAGAGCCCCTCCTCCGTTTCCCTCTCCTCTCCCCTGCAGCTTGAGATCACTCCCCTCCTCTCTCACCGCCTCCCCCTCCCCGCATTCGCAGATCGCCGGACGTTCGCATCAGGCCTCCAGCAGTCTGGAGCTCCTGCCCC